ATTTTCATCAACCGAAGTATGCTCTGTGAATGTCTTTGGGAAGTTTTTTGAACACTTGTTATCAATCATGCATGGGCATTTAGGATTATCACTACCACAAGGACCATGCATCATGAACTCGCTGACAAGTGCATACAATTCTGGATCGTCATTTTTGTTTGGAATTTCAGCAGAAATAACACGATCAATATGTTCAACGGTTGGGAGCTTGTAATCAGAGTGCATGAATAGACATATATGAGCATGAGGTAGGCCGCGCTTTTGAAACTCCACCGTATAAACAACTGACAATTTATTTAAATAGAGTCGTATTATAAGAATTTGAAAAAAATAAAAAAACATATTAACAAAATATATAAAAACACTTTAACAATGCATTATTAATATAAATTACCTGCTTCGACCGAACCCAATAATGAATTTTTCTTTAAGTCTTTAATCAATGAATCTAGCTTCATTTTGAACAACCTAGATAGGATATCCGGTCTGTCTTCGGGTTTGAGGTTTGTGTCAGCAATAAACCTTTGAATCTCGGGCCACTTTGGATTGCATGTTACAGTTATGAAATAATCTGGGTAGCCAAACCACTTACAAAGTGACATGGCATCTAAATAATTTTGCATCATGTAGCGTGCACCACCAGTAAAAGAAGAAGGCAATATCACACGCTGTCCAATATTCGAAATATCTGTATTTCCATTGTTTTTCACGCTGCGTAAAGTTTCATAGGACTCGCATCGAAGAACTTTTTGTTGGTTTCATATGTAATACAGCCTCTCGCTTTCAATCATCGTATAAGCATCAACCATAAATTGTTGAAAAAGCCTTCTTGAATTCAGAATTAATGAGAAAATATTAACTCTGTCTTGAATCCTATATGAAAAGAATTCTCTCATTGTACAGTAACATCGTTTGTTATTCGTTGAACACGTAACACCTCTATGAGGGATGTCAACTCGATATCCATCATCCCCATAAGGAAAGAGCAGTGGGTATTGAAGAGCAAGGTAAGCAGGATGCAATTCATTTATACGTTGTAGATTGCCTGATTTAGTTTTTACGATGATATCTCTATTATCAATTGAATTACCAATGTCACCAACAATTAAAGCAGCAACCTCAGAAGCGGTAGGTAGGTTATATGTCCTTCCATCTTGTTGTCTTCTTCCTATAAGACGTAACTTTAGATCTATATTAGGACTTGCATTAAAACAATCTCTTGCCATTCTATAACACTTAACCAACTCATTTGTTGAATCCAACATAACCTTTAAAAATCTTATGATATCGATATCAAGTTGCTGAGAAGTTGAATTGCACCCATCTTTTTGTGTACTGTTAATAATGACAATTATATTTAATATTTAGTAGGTAAATAAGTGGTATGAAAAAAAAGGAATTGTTAAGAAAAATAAACATGAAATATACCTGAAAGCGTGTTGTCTATTTGAAAGTTCGTTGTCAGTATCATATATGTATAGCTGAGAGAACTTTGGTTTTGATCCATCTATAGGTAGAAGGCTGCCCATACAATGGTAATTTTGACCACTAAGTCTAAAAATATATGGACCTTTGCCTTTGTTAACGGAAGAATCAACTTTTCCACCCATCGATGTAAATGAAAACATCGAATTGTACAGACGAATGTTGTTCAAAAAATGTTTCCCTTTGGGATGAACAGAACGATAAATATTTTGGTAATCTACAGGTGCTTCTTTTAATTCAGGAAGCTCGACCTTTCCGTTACCACAACACATTGAAAAAGATGTTTTGTTGCCATCTTTATTGCCTTTAAGGGCTTCATTTTGCCATAATTTTGCATGACAACTCGTACACACAAAACTCTGATCACCATGGTCGAAATAATCTGTTTAAAAAAACTTGATTAAAGATATAAATATATTATTCTTAAATGAGTAATATTTTAATATAATCATTAGTGTTACCTTTTGAGATACCCGAAATCAATTGAACATGATTATGCTGAACATTTAAGTGTTCATCTGATGTTAAGTCTATGGGTATACTCGATATATTTGAGATCTTCCTTTTTGACTTTTTGTTTCTTAAAGATAAACCGATAGAATTATCTCGAGTGACTGCTAACGAAGATGTGGCTGTGATATCATTAGACAATATAGAATATTGTCTATTTTCTGACACTGAAAGTATAAATGTTAGTATTGAATTTTGAAATAAAAATGATAATAGTATGATTTAAATTGTATACAATACATACATAATATTTTATGTAACTTATATAGTAGGAAAACTGATGTGAAAATAAATTAGATATACCATTGGTAATGTTAGATAACGGTGTTGTTGCCGTATAATTGGAAGTAGATTTGAAACTTTGCTGAGCATACTCCATACACGCTACGAAATAAAAAAAAATTAATTAATATAAAAAATAAAATAAACATAATAAACATTGGAATTTATTATTAGACAATTAATTATATATTATATGGATGAGATGTAAATTATATAATATATAGCATATTACCGTTTGGTGTGGTGCAAGTCTGAATGGATCTTCTATTATCCAAATAATATTTTCTCTGTTTTCGCTTATCTTTATAAACGTTTGGGTTGACATTTTGATTGTCAGCGGTAACATTATTGAACGTGCTTGATGACAAGGTTTGACATTTGCTGTTGTCATTAGTAAGCACTGAGAAAATTATATAAGAAAAAATTTATTATAACACTCAAAGTATTTATAAGTTAACATATATAGGAAGAAATAAAATATATATGCATACTTATATCATTGAAACGAAATATAAGAAATATGTTTAAATAAAATATTAAAAAATTAAAACAATGTTGATTGTTATGACCATTACTTGTGAAATACTAAGAGTGTTACAAGGAAATATGCATTATTTATGTCGTAAAACGTTAACACAAAATAAAAACTGATAAACAAAATTAAAAATATTATGTGAAAAGAATACTCTCGTAGCAAACTAACTATAAAAGCATGATAGAAAAAAAATATACCATTTGGCGTGGTGGTCATATGTTTACATTTTTTGTTATCCAAATATAACTTTCTAAGTTTTCTTTTATCTTTAGCATCATTGGATAATGAACTTGTAATAACATCCAAAGTAGATTGACAACTTGTGTGCTGGTATCCACCTGAAATATTTGAATTTATATTTTCATTGTTACCTGTAAGATATATAGAATAATTTGAAGTGGTTAGATGTTGATAAGGATAAATGATTTGTGTCCATATACTGAAAGTATAAATGTCAGTATTGAGATTTGAAATAGAAAGGATAATTGTATGAATTAAATTGTATATAACGCATAGATATTAATTTATATAACTTATATAGTAGGATAACTGATATGAAAAGTTATTCGATATACCATTGGTAATGTTAAATAACGGAGTTCTTGTCGTATAATTGGAAGTAGATTTGAAACTTTGTTGAGCACACTCCATATAAATGTTTTGGTTGACATTTTGATTGTCCCCAACAACATTATTGAATTTGGTTGATGACATGCTTTGACTTTTGCTAATGTCATTAGTAAGCACTGAGAAAAATATATAAGAAAAAAGTTATTAAGACCCTCAAAACATTTATAATTAATATATACAAAGAAAAAAAATATATGCATATTTATTTCATCGAAAACGAAATTTATTTAAATAAAATATTAAAAAATAAAAACAATGTTGATTGGAAAAATAGTTACCTGTGAAATACTAAGAATGTTATAAGGGAATATCATGCATTTATGTTGCAAAAGAGTAATAGAAAATATAAACTAATAAACAAAATTAAAATTTTTATGTAAAAACAATACTCTCGTAACAAAGTAATTATAAATGCATTATAGAAAAAAAAATATACCATTTGCCGTGGTGGTTTTATCTTTACATTTTTTGTTATCCAAATATAACTTTCTGAGTTTTCTTTTATCTTTAGCATCATTGGATAATGAACTTGTAATATTCCCAGAATATGTCAAAGTAGATTGAAAACTTGTAGGCTGATATCCATCTGAAATATTTGAATTTATATTTTTATTGTTACCTGCAAGATATATAGAATAAAATGAAGTGGTTAGATTTTTATAAGGATATTTCATATACGGTAAAGTAGTTATTTTTATAAGGAAAAACAACATTTAATATATAATATTGTACCAGATTAATAATAAAATTTATTGATTATGTGTAATACAAATTTCAATAAGACTTAATCAAAATTTTTATCAAAATTTTTATAAATTAAATTAAATAAAAGAGTAATGATAATAAAACAAAATGGACACGTTGAAATATAATTACCAATTGAAGTGGTTGTCACGCCATTGGAGTTTTTTTATCCAAATTTAACTTTCTTTGTCTGCGCCGGTCTTTAGAATGATTTGAATCCATACGATGTTTATATCATAAAAAACAATAGATCCTGTAATCAAACTATAATAAACCAATGTTATATAAATTGATAGTATATATTATGAATTAGTAAAATTGACACATTATAAAAATACGTATATGTAAAAAAATTGTTAATAAAAAAATTGTTAATTTAACATGTTATGAAGCTTATATTTAATAAAAATAAATGGACGTGGAGTTATTATAAAGAATTTGTACTTATATAGTTATATTTAATATACATTATTGGATGATATAAAAAATATTGGAAAAAGAAAGACAAACCTTATGTAGAAATATTGGAAGAAAAATAGATTTCGGTAGTTAAACCAGGAAATTTAAATAGAAATAAAATAAAACTATAGTGATTCTTATTGAAAGTTTATTTACTTCTTTTACTTTTAATTCAAAAAATTTTTCACAGTTTTATTTTATCATAGAAATTTGAATATTAAACATTAGTTATCTTAAATATAAAAAAAAAAAGGTTTACGTAAAGAATGAGGATAAAAAAGTAAAACAACACCGTGAGCAACGAAGGAGGCGTTGAAAATGTGAATATCGATTCTTGACCTAAGCAGAATGCAAGATGCGATTTGGATGGGCAGACGACCATACGTTGGAGATCGAAGGAACTAAAAGGGGTTCGTTAAACAACGACAGTAGAAGGAAATCACAGATGATACCGTCGGAGTTTATGGGTGCTGAGATGGAAATAAAGTGATCGACAAAGGATTTCCGATGGGCAGACGACCAGACGTAGTGGAACATGAATTGTTAAGGTCTGTTGTATAATAAAAGTTATTAATTGAATATGATTTTAATTTAGGTTCAGATTTTTTTTACTAATTGGAGATTATTTAGCCAGATTTTGTGCTGAATATTTGGTGGATTTAGGTATATATATAATGCAGGGGCATAATGGGAAAAGTAGTGAAAATCCGAGTAGAAAATAGAACAGATAGGACCAGGGCATGGGTAGCATCGATATAGAAAACGAAAATATTGTTGGAATCATATTCTCTATACCATTATAATCATATTCTTTAGAATATGACCCATGATATACTGCTGTTAAGTGATTAAAATGATAATTACATTATTAATTGTAAAGGAGATTACAAAAAGATGTGTGTTCTGATCACTGGGACATGCTTCCTGAAAAGACACCTTCTGTATTGATTTTGCCTGTGCTTAAAGGGAACAACTTTCAAGTAAAGATTACAGGAAAGCTTATACTTTGATGATAATGTGTAACCATGTTCCAAGAAAAGACATAAGAATCAAGAAAAAAACATATTTTTTAACATTAATTAATACATAAAGAGCTTTATAACCTATTATTTATCATCCTTATTTACCATCTGTGGGTAGTGATGTGTGTATAGATAATCATTCCCATATAGACAAAGTCTGTTTATTTGTTGCATCGATTGAGCTGTTTGAATATAATCAAATCAAATGACCATTTTACCATTGTATATACAGGAGACATAGGGGAACAACTTTCAAGACAAGATTGGTTTGTGTTGTTTGGATCTAGCATTAGTGATGCATATACCGACAAAGATAGAGCCTGTTCATCAGCAATTGCTAAAAAGTTTTGAGCTAATACTAAAAGTCCCTGTTAGTTTTTGAGCTAATGAGTTAAGCAGTTAATGCCATATGGTTGTTACCTGTTGACTTAATTTGGACAAAATTACTTAACAGGTTAAGCCAAGAAAAACCTTGGTTGAATGTCATTTGTCTAAATTATTTTACCTATCTAAATTATATTCATTACTAAATTAAGCATTACTAATCAGGAAAATTAAGCATTACTAATTTAAGCATTACAATAATACCATTTGTCTAAACGCATCTAGACACCAATCATTTACCTGTCTACATATTTTCATTTCTTCTTTTTCCCTCCAAAATCATGTTAATTAAAATTGATGAATGTTGTGAACCTACTCTGATTTATCAAGATTCCCTGTCTACCTATTTTCCTTTTTTTGTTTTCCCTCCAATTATTTATCATCATCTCTTTGGTATACAGTTCCTCCTCATGATAAAGGGTGGCTTTGCCCTGTTTGTGATTGCAAGGTTGACTGTGTTGACTTGTTAAATGATTCCATGGGGACAGATTTGTCCATCAACGATACTTGGGAGGTCAGTTTGGTCATTTTTTTAAAAATATTACATTTGGGTTTTTACAAAAATCTTGATTTTCATATCTTGCAGAAGGTGTTTCCTGAAACTGCAGTGTATGGGGATAAATTTAATGACATTTCAGGGCTTCCTGATGATTCTGAAGATGACAATGATAACCCTGATGCTCCACAGGTAGCAGAAGATGAGGTGGATGTAGAGGATCCAAGCTCTAATGAGTCTGATGAATCTGATTTCTCTTCTGCATCTTCAGATTTTGGAGCCATATCTAATAAAACTAATAACTGTTTATCTGTTTATCAATCTTTTATTTTTTATTAAGTTTATTTATGTAAAAATAATTGTAAATTGAAAGAAAAAATATTGTGTAAATAATAAGCATAAAAAAAGTAAAACACAATCGTGTTTGTGGAGGGAGGCGTTGAAACTGTTGTTGTGCATACCGACTATTCAGCTAAGCAAAAAAAATTGCGAGCTTTAGATTGTATGATGTAGAACTGATGAACAGACAAATGTTGAAGTCTTTGTTAAATAATGACAATGAAGAAAAAACTGAAAATTAACACATCTTTGATTTAGATATGAAAGAAATAAAAAAAGACTGTTATACCCCTGCAACATATAAGGCGACTACATAGTAAAAACAGTAAAATAAGCATCTTGCAGCTACAAATGTAAATGGTTCCTATCACTTTAAACACATAAAGACTACATAAATGATGCTAATTTTACACAACAATTCCCCATCCTTTACAGAAGTTACAGTAATTAACACATCAAGCAAAGCATCACAGAAATAGTAATTAATGTAAATGGTTCCTATCACTTTAAACACAAAAAGAATACATCAATGCTATATATGACAAAGTAGAATCGTATATGTTCACTCAATATAAGCAATAATATCTGGTTTTGTATAGATTCAATAGTAATTAACACATCAAACCTTGTTAACTGCTTATCAATCTTTTATTTTTTATTAAGTTTATGTGATACATCAATGCTATATGTTCATTCAAAATCCATTCTTAACATAAAAATAAAGAAAACAGAATATGTGAAACCAATTACGAAAATATTCTTGACAAACCATAAAATCTAAAAATTGATGTTCGACTTGAATGATAAATAAAAAACGAAAAACTTAAAATTGTTTGAAACGTTCATAAGATCTCACTTCTCGACTTTAGAAATCAATAGTTGGGTGGACGCAACAGTTTCCTTGATTCCAATGGATATTTTTGAAGGTTTTGTTGATGACTCACAAACAGTATCTTCAAGATCGTAAACATCTACAAGTTTACATTTCACATTGGTAGTTGGTGAGAGCAGGCTAGTGGTGTCATGGTTGGTTGATGGAGTCATTGAGATGGCATTTGGAAAAGTAGAGATAGGAGTATTATCAGCAACGAAGGAAGCAGAACCCTTAAATGCAAGAATTAACATATGTTAATGATTGACTTAGGAGTAATGTAAAATGAGTGACGGGCAAAAAAAGTAGAGATAGGAGTATTATCAGCAACGAAGGAAGCAGAACCCTTAAATGCAAGAATTAACATATGTTAATGATTGACTTAGGAGTAATGTAAAATGAGTGACGGGCAAAAAAAGTAGGAAATTATACCTTAAAACCAATTGTATCCTGAGAGTTGAAATCTGAGACCACGACATTAACAGACTCAGTGTCCTATATGTAACAGTTTGTAAAGTGCAATTTAGATTGGTAAATATCAAGTATATAAAACATAATTTGTAGACGGATTAAGACTTATTTGTAGGTATACCTGTTCAATGTGGTTTGCTTTTTCAAGTTTCTCGAGTGCAGAAATTATGTCAACATCATCACTTATCTTTGATATTTTGTAACTACGAATGTATTTTCTTCCAGCGGTAAAGCCTCTAACTATAATTTTGAAAGCCATTTTTCTACCAATAAGTTCATTGATCTCAACAGGAAAAGCAACAGTGTCACCCATCTAAAAAAAAAGTAAACGAAACAAAATTAGACTTAAAATGTAGAAATCATTAGAATAAATTATGAATTTTATATAATGGATTCTTTATAATATATACCTTTTCATACTTTTCTATCAAATCTGATGCTGAAATGTTTAGAATACTTCTAACATCCCGATCAAACAGAGTAAGTGTCACTACTCCCACCAAGCCTTGTACTCGAATTTTGAGCATAAAACTAAGGTATTTAAAAAACAAATAAAAACCATACAAATTAGATAAATACAATAATGAAAGAATATTAAATTTCTTATTATACCTTGGTTCAACAACTATGACTTGGTTTTTGCACTTCTGTTGTGTACATACCCAAGATTCATTCTCAGCCACATGATCTAAAAGATTAGCCTGTTCAATGGGCATTTTATGAACCTTTCTCTTACAGTTCTTGCAAGCCGGGTAGTACCATTCTTGATTATCTGTAAACATCTTAATTGTTCCAAGAATGATGGCATAACTCCCCTATTATTAGTAATAACCAATGATGTTGAATCAGGAAAATTAAGCATTACTAATTTAAGATTTAATAATGTAAATATACCTCATCTAATTCGTGGATCATGGAAATCTGGTAGAATTTAGTATTTTTCAGAAAGTCATCATGTACAGTATACATGATAGAAGATGTTGTAGCACGAGAACATGAAGAAGCCGATCCACTTTCTTTTTCTTTAAACCTGTTTACAAATAAAGTGTAAGCAAACTATCAATAAAAAATAAATTTAGTTTAATAGTAATATATAAAGGACTTGATTGAAACGTTATCAAACTTTTTTTTGAAATCAATAATTTCTTGAACTTGCTCATCAATGAATAGCTTTGTTGCTAAATATGTGTTATTCACATATACACGCCCTGAAAATTGAATGAAAAAAATATTGGATTAAATAATTTCTTAGATAAACATTGAAAATGGTAAAGATAGAAAATTGTATTAATAAAAGGACCTCGGTAATCCTTCCACCTAGCACACTGAATAATCATTACAAAATTCACCCAATGTTTGGATACATAGGAATCAATTTGTTCAGCATAATCTCCCCACAAAGTAGCAAGCACTTGTCGTCCCCTAAATGTATATGAATTAAAACAACAATTTTTAAAGTAATAATACACAAGTTTTAAAAGAAACATACTCTAAATCTTCCAATTTCAATGTAATCCTCTTATCAAGTTTTTGGGTTGCAGGTTCCAGTGGATAGCATTGGAAAACATTACCGATCACATCTATAATATACATTATGTAAGATGTTAGTATATAATTAGTGTTAGGATGGAAAAATTATATATGTAACGCCCGTGTTTCTAGGCTTGCCATTTTTAGCAATGTAATAGTCTAGGTTAACCTTTGTAACTCAACTTGAAATAATAAGAATGTATTATTTGTGAATTATGTGAATTATGTGATTTATGTGTTTATTTTCTTGATTTTTATAATTTAATGAATTAAGAATAAAATAAGCATCAAAATTTAAGTGTGAGATAAGCCCGATATCTTTGCATAAAGTTGTAGTGGTCGAAACAAGGATTTCGGAGATATAAGGAATGCCAAAATCCGAGTTATAACGAAGAAGTTATGACCTGTCGAAGTTTCGAGACAGAACCGACACGACGCCGAGTGACGTAAAATATGAATTTACATTAGAGCGATATTTAGCCGTAGTGATCTAAACGAGAATCGAAGATCTCTTTGTTAGCATCAAAGCGATAAAAAGTTAGGCGAGAACGGACGTCGGACGAAGAAGTTATGATTTAATAACGAAGTTTTTTCCTGTCCGAGCCTTCTAAAAATAAATAATAAAAATAAATTCAAAATTAGCCGACGGAGTCTAAACGAAAGTTGTAGATCGTAGTCTCACCTTTCCGTGGATATAAGGAACGTCGAAAACGGAGTTCGTATGAAGAAGATATGAATTTCCGAAGTTTATTAATTAATTTATAATTATTTTTCGGAAGCATTATCCGAAGGCGAGTCACAGATCTTATCCGACTTACGCGCCGCGTAAGTGAGTACGCCCCGCGTACTCCGAAAATGTCGACATCGCAGCAAGTGGCTTCGGATGACGCAAGCGCTTACGTCTCTGAGGCAGTACGCCCCGCGTACCCCGAAGTTACGCCCCGCGTAATCCGAGGTTCAGCAACTATAAAAGGAGGTCCGAAGCAGCCGAGTTTTCTTTTACAAATTCTTCATTTTCTCTCATCTTTTGCCTCGATTTGCGTGCCGATTCCATCCCGAAGCCCTGGTAATATTCCCGAGTCCCGAAGCGAGTCCCGAGATCCCGAAGATCCCGAGAAGTGCGGTTTCCGAGCCGAAGCTCTGCCCGCGAGAAGTTCGATTTTCGTAGAGATCTTCCAGATCTGCAGAGGATTACTACTTCTGCAAGCCGTAGTGCTGCCCGATCATCTTCTGATCAGTGAGTGTGTAGTTACTTTCATTCCAACACAATATTATGAAGTATTTCCTATAAAATACGTGTTATGTGTATATATTTGGTTGTTATACGTGTGAGTGTATATTCACTCTCTTCTATCTTATAGATCTGAAGTATTCTCTATGAAATACGTGTTATGTGTGTATGCCTCATCTGTTATGTGAAAAATGTTTTGATTGAGCATGCTATACAGGTTTTGAAACTACGTATAAAAATGTATATTTTATCTACTAATATGTTGGGTAGAATATGGGTAGATAGTTGGTGTGTAATAAACAGATGAGAGGCCTCGTTGTTGTTTGATCCAGTCATCTAGCGGAATTTAGATGACGACCACGGACTTTTCTAGATAGTCATGTGGAACGCTAGCAGGCTCATAACCTGTAGGTGTTAATGAACTTGGGTGTTCATTCGCTGTATTCCATCCCCCCATGGTTGCCTTATTTGACTTATATTGCTGAGGAACCCCCGAAGCATGTGTAGTCGCCCCGATGAAATATTCTTAGACTAGGTCCCTTGTGTTAGTTATTTTAGGGACATAAAGTGAGAATAACGGGAATGGGTAACTGGGTTATTGTTGGTTGATAATAATTAATTTAATTATTTATTGTGGGTTGAAAACCCTATATGCTCACCAGGCTCCCAAGCCTGACCCACTCAGTTGATTTATTTTACAGGAAGTGGCGCAAGAGCTTAAGATGGGCGAACATCAAGTTGTTTTGTTTACAAGTCTGTATATGTATATATTTGTTGAAAGACTTGTAATGCTATCGTTTATGCTTTATGATCTGTATCGGAACATGACATCCCGACTTTTGATTATGAAATGAAATCATATTTCTTTATGAAATGTTTTGATAAATATCTATTTTA